AGCTGGGTTCTGAGGCCAAAAACTCAAACACTGAGGGCTGGGAGTGTGGCTTCGTGGTAGAGTGCTTGTCTAGCATGCATGAAGCCCTGTGTTCAATTCCTCAGTACCACATAAACAGAAAAATCCAGAAGTGGTTCTGTGGCTCAAGTGGTGAAGTGCTAGCCTTGAGCAAAAGAAGCTCAGGGACAGTACCCAGGTCCTGAGTTCAAGCCCTAAGACTGGCAAAAAAAAAACCTCAAACACTTAAATGAATGAGAATGATTATGAGTTCAACACTGGGAGGGTCCGCAGGGAAGGTTGCCACAACCTGCAGAGTCTAAAAGCACTCCAATTCTGGAGGGTTTAAAATCACAGTGCTGACCAAATAGAACTTGCAAGCAGGCCAATTTCTGTCACTGGTGTGTTTATCACTCCCCACTGGGCTTTCTAGAAGATAAGAGTACCAGCTTCAGCTTTGGTATTTTAAAAAATAAATAAAAATCACCAGGAAATTGTATGCCAAGATCCAGCAGAGAATGGGTGGGTTCCTAAACATTCAGTCAGCAACAAGCTGCAGGTGTGGGTCTGCTGTAACCAGTAAGGTAAGGCTGCCTGCTGGCCCTGTGAAGAATGAAAGAGACTGAGAGCCAGCTGAGGGAGGTCAGAAAAGTCAGAGCTCTGACTCTGAGTCAGCTGACACAGAAAGAGCTAATCCTTAGCACCGGGTTTCAAACTGCAAAACCGAGATTTGTGGATAAAAATCTTGGAAAACAAGAGATTCGATGCATGGAACCAGCCACCTAGAAAACATGTTAGAGTTCTGTATTCCTTCTTTCATAATATTCTAAAGAAAGAAATCTGGAGGTTTGTCTCATTCTCACACTCAGAGTCACCTGGAAAGCCTTTGAATAGGATTGTTGGGCCCACCTCCAAGGAGTTGGTCAGAGGCTCTGAATGAAGACCCAAGCATCTGCATTTTATTAGTCTTTAAGATAGTCATCCAAAGATGTCAGGCATCAACAAACCCCAATCTGAGTGAACTATAGCTGTCAAATCAGAGCCTAAATTGTACTACTTAAGTCTCTGGACCCAGTTTAAAGGATCCAACTGGCCTAAGATTGACTATCACATTTCTTTTGTTGATTCACTCAATGAATATTTAGTGAGAATCTAAAGTCCCTGCCAATATATCTTCAGATATATTGAGGAGATAGATATGAATCCATCTCTTCCTAGAATTTACATTCTTGTTAGGTTTATTAGAGGGACAGCAATTCTTTTCTTTCTAAAGAGAAACTGTTGAGATGAGCCAGAATCTCCAGGGATTGGGATGATTGGTAAATATCCTTACATGTGCCTCCTGAGTGGTGAGCCTCTCCATCACGAGTGCTCAGGATTTCCCATCCAATGTGTACTTCTAGGAGTGAGGAGCTGTCCATCAGCAAAGCAACTGGAAGTCCTTTCTTGCAGATAGCTATTAAAATATCCAAAACTACTTTTTACCTTAAGGCCTGCTTTTGAGTGCCTCCTTTTCCTGGCTAACATCCTCCTCCAGATTGCTTTTTACCTTGTATTTTCTTAAAATGCAATTATGAATCTGAGCACTGGTGGTTCACATCTGTAATTCAAGCTGCTTAGGAGACTGAGATCTGAGGATGGCAGTTCAAAGCCAGCCCAGGCTAGAGGGTCCATGAGATTCTTATCTCCAGTTAACCAGAAAAAAGCCACAATGGGGCTGTAGCTCAAGTGGCAGAGTGCTAGTGTTGAACAAAAAAGCTAAGGGACAATGCCCATGGCCTAACCAGAGTTAAGCCCTAGTACCAACACACACACACACACACACACACACACACACACACACATTCAATGGTAGGATCCAACCAGTTATACATGTATCGCATTATTAAACACATGGATCAGGCACTGAATTGGGCTCAGGATAGAGTCCGTAAAACAGAATAACCACCTTCTCCCTTCTGGGTGTTATCTTTCTGTTAACACCATCTATTGATCTGTTGATCACCGGTATACTTTCAGCAGATCATAATTTCAAGGGATCTTCATTTTTAAAAAATCACCTTATGCCAGCACTGGTGGCTCATTCCTGTAATCCTACCTGCTCAGGAGACCATGATCTGAGGATCATGATTCAACGTCCACTGTAAGTGGCACTGTGGCTCAGAGAGAGCTAGCCTTGAGTGCAAAAGCTCAGGGACAGTGCCTAGGCTCTGAGCCCAACCAAAAAAAAATCACTTTATTACCTTTTCTTACCTTTATTTATCTAAGTTTACTGCTATCAGCAAATTCTTTTTTGATCCTCTTTTATTTATATGATTGCTTTAATTCCTAAAGGTCTTGTTTTTTTCTTATTTCTAGTTATATTTTCTTTATAGCTTTTGGTTCTTACCCTCACCTCCTATTTCTCATTATAAATAAGCTTTCTCATATACAAAAGCCTGAAGCAATGACCATTTGTGGCTTAGTTTTATTTCAGATAAGTTCAATGTCATCGAGTCTAAAAGTAAGAGACTATTCAGCCTAAGCCCCACCATACACACACATGCCTTATACATCATTTCCCCATGAGGACTTTTGCTCCCTGCACCTTTTCTTTGTCCTTTCACCTAATCTTATGACCTTCTCAGACCTCTCTGTCGGCCTCATCCATTTCCTACGGTGACCTGGGACATGTGTTTCCTGCCACACAGCCAGTCATAAACAATTCCTAGTAGATTTGGGAGTAACTCAAAGAGGAACCGGAAATGCTCTCTAATTTAAACTCCCAAAAGAAACTCGGCTTAGTTGGCAGTGGACACACCCTGTGATTGCTGGCTCAAGCCACAGACCCGGAGTCCCTCTACTGGACTCTGAAAACCACTGCATTTCACTTAGGAAGGAATTAAACTCTTGAATAATTGAGAATAGCCGGGAATATCAGCAGAAAAGAATCAAAGATTCCTACTCTACAAAAGACAAAATTGGACCTAGGTTAAAAATCTTAGCTGAGCACTGGTGTCTCATGCCTACAATCCTAGCTATTCCAGACACTGTGATCTGAGGATCACAGTCAAAGCCAGCTCATGCAGATTAATCTGAGAGACTCTTATCTCCAGTTAACCAGCTAAAAGCCAAATGTCAAGGTGTGACTCAGGTGGTAGAGTGTCAGCCATGAGCAAAAAAGCCAACTGAGAATGTGAAGCCCTATTACTGGCGCACACGGCGCGCACGCACACACACACACACACACACACACACACACAGAGGAATCTTAGACTTTGCATCAAAAATTTTTAAAAATCTGGGGGGGAGGGGGGAAGGAGAAGGATTGGGATGGGGGGGAGGGGGAAGGCTGGAAGGGATGGGAAGGGTAAACAAAGGAGGGGGCTGCAATGCTTGGTAAGAAATGTACGCATTATCCTGCCCATGCAATTGTAACCCCTCTGTACAGTATGTTCACAAATAAAATTAAATTAAATTAAAAAAATAAAATAAAATATCCTATGAAAAAAAAAATTTTTTTTTAAATCTAGCTAGGCCTGGTAGCTCACACCTATAGTCCTAGCTGGGATTTGAGGATCTCAGTTCAAAGCCAGCCTGGGCAGGAAAAGTGTGGACTCTTTTATCTCCAACAAACTACTTAGAAAAGGCCAGAAGTAGTGCTGTAGCTCAAGTAGTAAAGCGCTAGCCTTAAGCAAAAGAATCTTAGGGACTGTACTCAGGCCCTGAGTTCAAGCCTCAGGACCAGCACAAAATTTTTTTTTAACCTCAGATGTGAAAATAATCTCCTAGACCTTCCAAATCCCACCATATTGTAATTCAGGTGAAGAAATTGAGACCCAAAGAAAGAATGTATTCAGGTGGAACAGAGGCAAAAACCCAGAACTCTATACTTAGATCAACAATTTTCTTTGCTTCCAGTCCCTCAGCAAGTATCTCAGATCTGGGGGCTCCAGGAAATGAACCATACTGGAAAATATATCCTAGAAACAAAGTCAGATCAACAAATGCCATCTGGGGAATCAGGAATCTAGCCATTTGTTGGTGCCTTTCCTTTTAGGGCTTATTAGAAGAGGATTGGCTCCAAAGGGATAATATGTTCCTATTTTTCCTTCTAAGCCAGACACCTGTCCCATCAGTGGGGAATGTGCAGTATTTGGAACTTCTTAACATGTGACTAGCCACCTGTTGCTCATGCCTTTCCAAACTGGCCTCAAGTTGTGGCTGGCCAACTGGACACCCACTCACAGTAAAATGTGGGCATTAGCAACACAAATATACTACATTTGAAGAGTCTGGAGTCTCTGGGGAATTAGGAGGTCAAGACAACTCTATCAGGCCGAATATACACTGCTTTGGAGCATTTATCTACCCTCAAATGCAGTAGTTCTGTTAAGTCCTAAGTCTGTCCTAAGTCTGAAGAGAGAGAAGGTCTAGAGTTCACTGTTGTCTGTCATTTTCTTCAACCCCCACGGCCATTCATTCATTCAAGAAATATTTATTCACCACCTGCTATGTTCACTCACCACTGCTCATCACACACTCATCCATTCACCCCACTAACATGTATGGAGATCCACTAGGGCCAAAGCCTCACACAGACACTGTGGGAGATAGAGCCATGGGTAAAGCTCAGTTCCTGCCTAGAAGGAACTTTTGACATAATAAATCTGCAAACTACTGGAACTTAGTTACAGCTGTGTGTATGAAGAGAGACATAGAGTGTGCAATGGAACCAAGAGGAGAGAGAAATCACTCCCCACTGGCCGGTAAGGAAGTTGGCAGGGGATATCATGTGAGACCTGAACTTTCCTAAGTAGGCAGGATTTGGTGTGTGAGCAGTCAGACTGGCATGCCAATGGTTCTTCAGGCTATAGGGAGATAAGAAATACAAGGATTTCTTCCTGGCTGATGTGTGGGGCACATATGTCTCCCAAGGAGGAAAAGGAAGTGGAGATGGGAAAGATTCAAAATGCTGGTGAGACTGAAAGGTCTGAGCTTCTGTTATTTTTCTGGCCCTTTAGGTTCAGAGGTGTGGCACCCCATCTGTAAGCAAGCAGCTCGGGCAGAGAAGAAGCTAAAGGTAAGCAAGCTATGATGATATCAAACCAGAGTCCTATGTGACCAGCTGTACCTACCAGCTGGGGGAGCTGTGCATGAGTAGCTAGTCAGTATCCTTAGTGTACCCACTCCCAAATGTGTGCCTGCTTTCCCTGGGTTCTTTCATGGGAATGCATGCTTGCCTCAGGGGGGTTTGAAAGTTTTAAGATGTTGGAGGTGAACAGTAGGGCACTGCCTTGTATGTGAAGTGTTAAGTGTGTCCAGGGCAGGTGAGGTTATAATCTCACCAAAGCTGACCAAGATGGCAGTCTTTCTGAGGTGTTCATGCCATGGTCCTTCCTTAGCCTATTAAGATTGTCACCATAATTGACAACTGACAGAGTTCTTCACAGTCACTGTGTGATTTGATTCCTTCAGTCCCCAGAGTTAGATGGGACAATTTTATCTCCACCTTGCCTGAGAGAAAAACTAAGTCTAAAGAGAATGGTGATTTTCCTGTAGCCGTGCAGCCAAGCAGAAACACAGCTGCATCCCCAGACATACACCAGACCAGCTGAGTCCTGGCCCTTCCCTGAACGACTGTACTCTGACAAAACACTGGGCAGGCTCAAGAACCTGGGTCCCAGACTCAGTAGAGAGGAGTAAAGCCACCCAGCTCTAAAGCAAGGGCCTGCCCTGGGTTCTTTAGATTGTGAAGGGAATCTCTGGGCAGTATGTTGGGTACAGGGAACAGCACTTGATTTCCAGTGTGCTTTTACATCCCGGTCCCTGACTATCAACTTGGCCCCTTGAGACTTTATTATGTTAGGCTGGTCTCCTCAACTAAAAAACCCAAAGGCACAATATCTGTCCAACTATTAAATATGTCTCCTTTGCCATTTCATCCGCTTAATGTAAGTCTGATGGAAGAGCTGCACTACAGGTGTGTAATGTTTTATTTTGGGTATCTTTGAGCCATGCATAAATCTTTTTCACCGATTCTTCCAAGGCCTATGCCATTTAAAATATAAAAGGCCCTCTCTCCGTCTCTTTGGAGGCAATTCCCAAATTTGAGTTATTCTTTAAAGCCCTGATACTTTTTTATCTGTCTATCATCTCCCCACAGCATTTTTGTTTTTCTTTTTTCCCCTGCACAGTATTTTCAACTTAATATTTTCCTTTAAATCAACTCACTACTTTTTACTTAACATAAAATGTAATCTTATAATACCAAGCAGAAGTGAGTAAGGCTTGCTGCAAGTAGGAAATAATCATAAAATTCAAGCAATAGCAATGAAATAGTTATTAAGAATTTTTTGCACAAGTCTCAAAATTGGGGTAATTTTTAATGTAAAACTTCATATTGTGAAGTCTTTTTAAACTCAGTTTGTATATATGTCCACTAGCCTACAAATATTCTTTGAGAAAGACAGGCAGACAGACAGACCTTTAAAATTATAGTTAATGTTGCCAGTACACTCCTTAGTTTAAAAGTGGGCAGAGGAAAGGAATTAGTAAGGGCAATTAAGGTACCAAATTAAGAGTTCTTTTCTATTTAATCAGGAGGATTGAAGTAAAATGTTGAATTTTACTTCTCACTTTATGACTCAGTATCATAGAAAGTTCTACCTATATTCATCTTCCTAGAGCCACCATAAGTTCAGAATCCAAAGTTTGGCCAGGCCAAACTATAAGCTCTAGCCTATACTTCTAGCTATTCAGGAGGCTAAGATCTGAGGATCACAATTGAAGCCAGTTCAGGAAGATAAATCTCCAAGTCTCTAAAAAAGCTGGAAGTGAAAGTGTGACGTAAGTGGTATAGTACCAGCCTTGAGTACAAAAGCTAAAGGACAATGCCCAACCCCTGACTACAGGGGAAACGTCCAAAGTTTGGGAAATTGCTCTGTGGCCCCACTTAGAATGCTTGATTGACATTGTAGGATGAGAAGCCTGAGAGAGAACTGAAAACTCCAATTCATTTTGCACATCAGGAATCCAAGACCTCTCAAGTCACAAATTTCCCTACTGGTCCTCTGGATTCCCAGTCTGTCACTTTTCCACCATAGCACACTTCCTGGAGTTGTTCTGAGACTAGCATCAGACTGTTCCACTGGGAACTGTTGTTTACTTAAGTTGATGTCAGTTTGCCAAGGGTACATGCAGAGAATCAGCATATTGTGTAATCACAGAAAGTGTCAACTATGTTTGAATAAATACTAAGCAATTTATGCATTTAAAGTAAACATATTATGCATTGGAATAGCTTAAAATAAAAGGTCTTATGAGCAACTTCCTATTTACAAATATATTCAAACAAAATTCATATTCTAAGCCAAGTGCTCATGGCTCACGCTTGTAATCCTAGCTACTCAAGAGGCTGAGATTGTGGTTCAAAGCCAGCCTGGGCAAGAAAGTCTGTGAAACTCTTATTGTTAATAAACCACCAGAAAACCAGAAGTGGCACTGTGATTCAAGGTGGTAGAGCACTAGCATTGAGCAAAAAAGCTCAGGGACAGCAAGTAGGCCTTGAAGTAAGTTCTGTGCATTTTGGATTAGATTTACACTTGGACCTTAATTTAAAATAAGAAAGCTAACTGGAATTAAATGACTTGAATTTCTCATTGACAGAAATTCAGGGAAAAAAGAATACAATTTGTAGAAATAAATTGACTGAACAATGTAAAGGGAATCTTCATACTTTAGACATTTTCAGGCAAGAAGTATCCATCAAATTCTGACAGAATATTTCAAAAAGATATGTTACATAGCATCAGATGTTTCAAATCACTAGGGTTCTTTTTTAATGTAGAAGGTTTCCATAGAGACAGAGAAAAGAGCCACCTAAATTGACCTATGATAATAACTTGGCATGCTTTACAATGATATTGAAAGCTCAAATAAATGTATGAAATAGTCTCTTTTTAAATCAAGAGAGAAGACAGAAGTAGCCAGAGAGACATTCACAGAAATTCTAATATACCTCCCCCCAAAGAGCTGCCTTCTGCACCTGCCTTCCCCTCCCCCACCACCCCTAGTGCTCAGCTCCTCACCTCTTCTGTCTTCATCTTTCCCACAGCATAGACGGACGTCTGAGACTTCCATCTCCCCGCCTGGATCCAGCATTGGGTCACCCAACCGAGTCATCTGTGTATGTATCACTTTTCAACCACCACGGGGCTTTTCTTTTTCTTTCTCTTGGTCTAAGGCTGAAAGGATTGCCAGGTGTGCATCAAACTGATGTTTGTGTGTGCCTGTAATGAGCTAGACCCTGTGCCAACCCTTGAGGAGACAGAGGTACAGCAACGCCATGAACCCTGTCCTCAAGTGCACGGTCTAGTACATTAATCATTAGAGGGATATTCATTAGAGGGAGATCCATGGAATACCCAAAAGAAAGGGCAATTGCAGGAGCCCTTGCTGAGTTCTTAAGCCAGGACAAGGTGCCTTCTTTCCCTATTCCTTAACTGAGACGAAAGCAAGACAAAACTGGGGATCAGAGTGGTAGTTAGAGTGGCAGAGCACTGATGTGCAGTAATGGTGTGTGATAAAGAAACAGAAAAGAGAAGGAAGCCACACACCACTCTGCAAGATGTGCGAACCTGAAGGAGAGCTTTCTGAGTGTGTGGGTAAGCCAGAATGGAGTAGAGCACCTGCAGATGTCTGAGCTCCTGTCTCCAGACTCATTTGCCAGGGATGTGTCAGATGGACAGAGGTGGAGCTAGATGACCTCAGAGGTCCTGTGTATATATAATGTTCTCATTCATCCCACAAACATGGGTGGGGCATCTACTGTGTGCTGAGGACTGTGCTGGAGAAGTTGCCGTGAACATCCCAGACCTGACACCTCAGCTTGATGCCTTCCTTTGGACACACAAAGCCATTACTAATCAGTTGTAGTCATGGTAAGTGCTGAGAAGATGCAGTTTCCTGATGATGCTACTGATGAACAAGAGATCATCTAGGACTGGCTGGAAGAAGGCATCCCAGAGGAAGAAACATTGAAGCTCAAACCAGAGGAGAGAGAGAAGTCCTAAGCCAAAGGAGGTGGGAGTGGCAGGCAGAACCAAGGGAAGCACTGACATCAACGGCAAATAACACTATAATTGAGTGTGCACTCTTCCAGCCTTCTAGAAGTCTAAGGAGCTAAGCAGACCAGAAATATGAGGATGGTTGAGAGCAGGGAACAGAGAAGCTCTAAATACAGTCCTCAAACCTACCAGCCCAGGTTGGGTCCTGACACCATGATTAAGTCATGACTCCTAATCCACACCGATTTCTGTTTGATCCCTGGTTAATGCCCACTGATGGCACTATTTCCTTTCCTTTCTTCCTTCAGTCAGATAGAAAACAGACGTGGGAGTTATTGACTGCAGCTTTACTATGGGCCAATACTGCCATGTGGCTTTCATAGAAAACAAGCCACTTTTTCCTTTCTTTGTTTTGTGGTTCTGTGGATTCAATCCAGAGCTTCATGCACCTCAGGTCACTGAACTGTATTCCCTCATTCCCAGCACAAGACAGGGGACTCTGCTCACAGGCTGAATTTGTTGGAGATCTCTCTCATAAGAGGAGAGAAGACAGAACCACACACACACACACCCATCACTATAAATTGGACCAGACCACAGCAGGATAAGTGGGCTTAGTGTCAGGCTCAGTTTATAGGTGATTGTGAGCATATCTCCAGAAGGGAGTTAGCAGAGTTTGAGCATTCAGGAAGCTGTTGCTTTAGAATGTCATTGTCAGTTTATCACTAACTGCTGCCCTATGCTACTGAGGAGTCTCATTAACTGATGAGATGTTAGGCCTGCTGATAACTCATCTGAGAACTGGCAGAGCCCACTAGAGTTGCCCTATATGAGGACAGCTGCATCACAGATGAACAGAAACAACTGGGGACACTTGGGCTCCTGCTTTCCAGCTGTGAAGGATTTGTAAACACTGAGGTCAGTCATCCCCCTAGCCCAGTCTTCCCTTCCACGCTCTCCTCTGACAGCTCCCAGTACCTTGTGTACAGCACTGTCAATCACCTTGTGTCACATCACCCTATAGATAGCTCCCAACTGGCAAAAAAAATCTACTTTGTAGAAACCAAATAACAGGAATGTTGGCTTAATTTTCCTAGACTTATATGTGAGGTTTACTATTAAAACAGAATCACTGATGAACCTGGAATGGGCAGGTTCTTTCAAACTTTCTTTCATTCACACTGACTTCCATAACCAACCCCACATGTCTTTCTTCTTTCCTGGACACCACCAATTAGTTATTGTGCCTCCAGACCTGAGGTCTTCGTTTATAACAGCGAAAATAAGGTATTCCTTCTGAGGTTTAGCGTAGAGTGCCAGGATTCTAACTGTACATTGAGATGAGTTTGTAAGATTCCAAAGCACCATCAAGGTCAAGATTACCATTGAGGACAAAAAGCACCAACTACTACTTCAGCAAGTGGACTCCTTAATAATGCTCCTTTTACTCACATACCCCAAAATTATCTCCAATTAACCACCAGAAAACCAGAAGTGGCTCTGTGGCTCAAGAGGTAGAGTGCTAGCCTTGAGCTAAAGGGCTCAGGGACAGCACCCAGGCCCACAATTCAAGCTCTGTGACCAACCAAAATTAATTAATTAATTTTTTTTAAAGCTGGAGCAGTGGAAGAAAAGCCACTAGACAGGAGTCAGACCCAACCCATGGCCAGGAAGGAAGATTGTAAGGGAAATTAGTATATCAGTCTTTACATTTACTTGGCCTTCAAAAGCCAGCAGAGAACAAGAAAGGTTGTAATTACCCCAGGCCTCAGGACACAGACCTAGTAGATCTAGAGGAAATAGAAAATAAGCTGTACAGTATCCAGAGAACAATGGGATGGGTGAAGGATATAACAATGAAAGAGCTGCGGGAAGTTTTAAAGTAATCAGGCTCACATGGTACTTATAAACACTGCCATCTAAGAAGTGGTTGGGTCCTGATACTTTACCAGCCCTCTGACTCTGGGAGAATGTTTTAAGGATAAGGCAGACTTCTTGGGTTCTGTCTCCAGTGGCCCGTGTCTTAATATACTTTACCCCAGACTTTCTAAATGGTGATAGTAACCACAGAGACATTTCCTGGTTGACCATCAAAGAAAGCAGATGATGGAGGAAACAGCTGGGGGACATAAATATCGACAGGACATGGCTTCAGGACTGAGATGAGTAGCCGCTCCCTGCAAGGGGAAGCTGCCTTCTAATCCACCAGCTTTGGAGTACAGAACTCAAAGAAAGTCAAGTCAACATTCAAGGCTCATTTCTGTTTTCTCTACGGAGTGTCTTGCTGTATGTATCCCTCTGACAGTGTAAGTTGGTGAACTTTCTGTCTGGGGAAGCTAGGGGGAGCCACTGGGAAGGGCAGGATTTCATGCAGAACTATGTAGGTTCCAGTTCTGGAGTTTGCTACTTAATGGCTGTGTGTGAACTTGGGCAAGTTAATTGATTTCTCTGTGGTTTTGTTTCTTTATTCAAAACAATGATAATACTATGAAGAGTTGTAAATTGTGTCAATTAAATGAGTTAATCCATATAAGACCTAGAGACAGAGCCTGGTTCGTCAGAGGTGCTCACCAAATGCTGGCTGGTGTTTTACTATCATGACTTTTTTTTCTTTATGCTCTTGTTCTATATAGAAACTGGGATTTAAACGCCCTTCCTAGGTGGAGATGGGTGGTAGTGAGCACCCATGATGTGAAGTTTACACTGGATTCAAATCTAATACTAGTTCTGGAACCTTTTGATCTCTATTTTTCTCACCTGGAAAGTAGAATAATATTGATACTTACCTTCACAGAGGCATTTAGAAGAAATTGTACCCCCAAAGCAGGGAATCTGATACACAATATGTATCCAGTGTCAGCCCTGTTGGAATGGATGACCTCTAAGAGCTAGCTTTTTCTCACAATCTACGACTCTTCCATTCAAGCCTAATACATTGTTTATGATGGGAACTGGGGAGGCTCATTCTCTCTGTACTTTGTTTTTACTTCCTGTCTCCTTTCTCTTTTCCCTCTTATCTTTCTACCTCTTTCCTGTCTCTTTCCCTCTTCCCCAGGCTAAAGTGGATAATGAGATCCTTAATTACAAAGACCTGGCAGCTCTCCCCAAGGTTAAGTCCATCTACGAGGTGCAACGCCCCGACCTCATTTCCTACGAGCCTCATTCCAGATACACGTCCGACGAGATGCTGGAGAGATGTGGCTATGGAGAGGTATCACGTCTTGCCCTCTCTGGGGCTGCTGGAAGAGCCAAAGTCTCACGCAGCTCAGCCCCCATAGTGCCTGGCCCCAAAGTCTTCTAAATTGAAATTTATAACCAGCATGTAAAATTTAGAAGTTTCATACACACACACACACACACACACACACACACACACACAAATATGGCTTTTTATGAACTGTGAGACATTGAACTTGTATTTCTACCATCTAGAATGGGTAGCAAAGTCCTGTGGACCAAACTGCCCCTTATCCTTCCCAGTCCCCACTATTTCCTCTTACACCCAGCATGGAAGCCAAGAGCCTGCAACTGCTTATCACTTAAGTCATTGTTTTTCTCATAGTGAAGTTCTTGCTTATACTCAGCCCTTGGCTCTTGTCCTGTACCAGGCTCAATAGCTGTTGAACTTCATAATCCCTAGTTAAGCATGCTTTCTTGGTTTTGTGACTGCACGTAAGCTCCCATGCTCAGAACAAAAGACACATTTACAAAGACTCAGCCATTAGATGGTTTTAGAAACATGTGGTAGCTAGACAAGAGGGGAACTTTCTGGCCAAGGCAGGGAGGCCTCTGCAGGGGAGGTCTTGGCATCTATGTTCCAGATTTCTCACCTCACCCCAGAGCCTCTGAGCTGGGATAGTTGGGAGCAGCAGGAGCCAGCCTTGTTGCAGGATCTGACTAACCTGTGTCCCTAATAATCCCCCAGCTCACTAAAGGAATTTCATTTCATTTGGTTGAAGGCCTAATGCTAAGGGTCTCTGGATTCTGGCCCCAAAAAATGATCTTAGACACAGGGGATCAGAGGTTTGGAGAAGCTGATTTTCCTTCTGCATCTAGAAATGGGTAATCAGGATCCATGGGTCCAGGGCCACCTCCCCTCTCAATCCCTCAACAGATGTTTTGGTTCCTCCACAGAATGGATTTCAAGAATGTAAATTAGCTGTCAACGTGTGAAGCATTAGGAAATTACATTTAAGAATCTACTTCTCTGACTGGTCTTGGGTATTAAGATGCTGGTCAGCATTGGATAGGTTCCAGCCTGCCCTGATCTGCTGTGACTGAGGGACAGCAGCCCTGTCACCAATCAGCAGCCAGCTTGCTACCCAGCTCCCACACTCAACAGCCCCTCTGAGGGTAGTGACCTGACTCTTGCTCAGCCCTGAATGTGCATCCCCTACCCTGGGCATCCTCTTCATGAACCAGAGGGATGGTGAACCAGGAAAGAGATAGAAGAGAGTTGTAAACGTAGCTCTGAGCTCACCTTGGGGAGACTTGAGTTCAAGTCAAGGCCCACCACTTCTTCCTCAGAGGCCCAGCATACTCCTGAGCCCTCCTGTTCCCTCTGTGGTTGTAAGTTTTCCATATGTAAAGGTGGGGCGTGGTCACAAAGTGTCCGGCCTCTTGTCAGCAGTTCTGACCTTCCTGAATTCTAAGAGAAGCATTGTGAGGGGAAGGGCACCAGGGGCAGCGGCCAGCCCTGCCTTCATTTAACCACACTCTGTGCTTTTCTCTTTGCCCATCTCTCTCCTTTGCTCCTTCCATGGCTGCCTTCAAACTCTCCACTCCTCAGTCGCTGGGAACATTGTCTCCTTACTCCCAGGTAATAAGACCAATAGAGAAAAGGTGCCAAAGAAGACCCCCTCATCCCCCTCTCCCCAGAGCCCCAAGGAGCCTCATCCCTGCTTCAAGGTGTCCCCCACAACCAGAGAGGGTACACAAAGGGTGGGGATCCTTGGAGATTGCCAGAATGCCCTTCCATCGAAGATAGGGTCTTTCATGTGGTCTCAGGTCAGGATTGTGGGGACTGACTCTAGGTTCAATTTGAGAACCTTAAGGGATGCATGGAGGCCCTGGAAATGCTCCACCACCCTTCTCCTGTCTGTGTATAAGTCAGAAAGAGGGGGTGTGTCTCTATTTATTCCTGAGCCTCAAGAACCTCAAATTCCATGGTCTGTGCCCACCCGCCTGCTGGACTCCAGGACCTCAGGTCTTGCTCACATCCCCACTTCTCCTCCTCCTCCCCAGGATATCTACGAGAACCTGGACCTCCGGCAGAGAAGAGCCTCCAGCCCAGGGTACATCGACTCCCCCACCTACAGCCGACAGGGCATGTCCCCCACCTTCTCCCGTTCACCTCACCACTACTACCGTGCAGGTAAGGCAGGTAAACCCCCAAAGAAAGACAAAGAGCTGGGAGCCATGTAAGGATTTGGAGTCACTGGGCTGCAGGGATGGCTCAGGCTGCCCCAGAATTCCCTTGGCAGTATGGACCTTCTGGTCACCCTGGTGACTAGGGTTGGGCCTGACGGAGTCCGTAAGATGCCCCAGCAGAGGCAAAGATAGGTATATGGCACTGAGGAGCAGCAGGAAGGTGGGTGGAAGAGAGGGGAGTGGCAATCATCCTGGAAGCCCTGGCTAGAATCAAACTCCTCTCCCTTGTCCTTCAGCCTACCAGTTCACAAGCCAGAAACAGGCCTGGGCCTGGCCTTCACTCAAGGTCCCAGGCCCACCCAGCCAGCCAGGGCATCCACAGTCACCCTCCCTGGGGCTGGGTGAAGCAAGTGTTTGGATGGAGGGAAGGGTAGTTAAGGAGAGGCAGCTGGGCCACCTGGGGTGGAGGGGTGAGCCACCCAAGATGGCTTCCTTACGAATCAGAAGATCCGGCATTGGAGAGAAGGAGGGAAGGGGTGGAGCTTGTGTCTGCGGACATGGTGCATGAGAACACATGCTTCTCCCACTCTGGAGCTGAGCACGCTGGGACACCCAGCCCACCCCATCCCTGCTGCCATCACCCCACTGCTTCCTTAACAGCCGCTGCGTTAATGCCTGTTTTCTCTATCCCTCTATTCTCTCTGGGGACCACTGCCTGCGTGCTCCAGGGCCCGAGAGTGGCAGGAGCTCTCCATACCATAGCCAATTAGATGTGAGGTCCTCCACTCCAACCTCTTACCAGGCTCCCAAGCACTTTCACATCCCAGGTAGGCGCTGACAGCCTGGCGTTTCCAGCATGGATGCATGCCCTGGGGGGGGGGGGGTGCCAGGCATCTGAGCTGCCCTCTCCTTGCTGCACACACACACACCAAGGAGGAGCTGGTTCCTGGGGGACCTCCCAAACCAGTCACCTGTGCTCACCCACCCTCCAGCCCCCACACCCCTGTATCTTTGGTCTACCCAATTGACAGAACCAATCTTAGTCAAAACCACGGAAAGCAGCTCAGAGGGCAAAGTGGCAGGGAGTTTAAGATCAGAGGAGCATGATGGGACAGGGCAATAGGGTCTTGGTGGACACTGCTTGAATCAAAACTCTTGGGACTGAATCCTAATCCTGCTGCCCATAAGCTGTTGACCCCAGAGCCAGTGTTTTAGTGTTACTGAGTCTCACCTGCTCTGCCTGCCTATGAAACCTGAAGTTCAACTGGGATAACTGAGCCTAGAATCCTGCCTTCAGTGCCCGTATTTTCTAATGTGGGGAGACAGATGGTATCTGAATAAACAAATGAGTAAAAGGAAAACTGCAAGGGATAGTAGATGCATTGAGAGAGAGACAGAGACAGAGACAGAGAGGATTTCTTGGAAAAAATGGCATTAAAGCTGAAAGATGGGAATGATCCATCCTTATGAAGACCCCGGGAAAGGTAACCTGGGCAAAGGAAACACCAAGTGTGATAGAGGTAGTGATTGAAGGTCAGGGAAAACCAGGGATTAGATAACCTTGTAGGACAAGATCTCACCCCTGAGTTATTCAGAGCCAGGTCAGGCTGTCTCCCAAACCCAACCTCAGCTTCTCACTTCCCTCACAAGAGCTTGTCCTGCTGCTTTATCATCCCAGAGGGGTGCTATGCTGTCTAGTTTTGAGGAAGAAGAAAGGAGCAAATCCTGAAACATAGCTGCAATACCCTAGGGACTTTCACTTGGAATTCAGTGTGGCCACTGGGGGGCGCTGTGGACACCTTCCTGCATGGGGATCTGCTGAGCATGCCCCACTGTCTGCCATGCCCACCATTCACCCCACCTTCCTTTCTTGGCACCATTTGTATCCATCCATCCCTCTCCCCTCCTCTCCTCTCCCCCTGCCTTACTTGGAAACTTGCTGGGGTAAAGTTGAAAGTTCAACTTTGAAAGAGGAAGTCCACAGGGGAAAGATGGTGACATCTTGGAAAAAGTTGCTGACTGTGTCTCTTTTCCAAGATCAATTGACCAAATGCTGTCCTCTCCTGTCTCTCTTTCTCCTCCCCATTGTCCTTTCCTGTTCCATATGACAGCTGGAGAAAGTAACATCTACCGGAAGCCCCCAATCTACAAACGGCATGGTATGGTCAGAGCCAGGAAGTGGACAAAGAAGGGTGGGGCATTAACTGTCTGTGCCGTGGCTCCTGGGCCTCTAAGAGCAGCACAATGCAAGGCCACAACTTCCCTGATCCCTGAGCTGCCCCCACCCCCATCACTTATGGTGACTCTGGGGAGGAGTTCAGTGTCTTCGTCTCCTTTATCTGCTCTCGTTGGCTCTCTGCAGGTGATCTGTCCACAGCAACCAAGAGCAAAACAAGCGAAGACATCAGCCAGGCCTCCAAATACAGTCCTGCCTACTCACCAGACCCCTATTATGCTTCCGAGTCTGAGTACTGGACCTACCATGGGTCCCCTAAAGGTAACATTCCCAGGTGTCTGTAGGGAGGGACCTTGCCCTGTTATCTATGCTGGGGACTTGGGCTGTTGTGAGCATCAGTTACCCTCTCCTTCACACAGTTATTATGAATGAGGATGCTTAGCAGGAGGTATAACTGAAGGTTTCTATTCAATCACCAGCAGGTCTTAAGGGCCAACCATAGGCCCTAGAGAGAGAAAAATAGACCAGGTCCTTACCCTGTGGGAGCATGGGTCCTCTCTGTGAGAGGAAGTTGATACCCAAGGGGTGGGGGTAAAAGGTTCCCCTTGCAAGTTCTCAGATACCATAGGAAGGAAACAAGGAGGTGGGTTGGCATAAAATGTAGAAAAGCATCTGCAAATAACTCAGGATGGGAGGGCAGTGCCACGGGAAGAAAGGAAAGGCCAGCCTCTTAACCTTGACCTTGAAGTGGGAGGGGAGCAAGTAGAGGATGCAGGAGGGAGTTCCATGAGAACTTTCGAAGTTAAGGTGGGGATTTTTGCTTATTAAACAATAAGAAGCTATTAAAGATAGTCTCAGGATCACAGCTATCCTATTGAAAGACCACTTTGGCTGTAGGGTAGAAAATGGTGTGGAGGCTGGAAAGAGAGGCTGAGAGTGGTGGGAAGGTCTCATAAGCACCCTGGTCCTCAGGACACCGCCATAGCCCAAGTGTTCCTTTCAAGTCTGAGCAAAGTCCATTCTGAGCAAAGTTTCATGGTAGTTCAGAAATGACTTCTTCATTGCCTTCAGAGAATTCTCCCTTTAAAGAAAGAAGTAAGACACAGAAAGAACCGTAACTCAAAGTGGACAGGGATCAATAGTCATGGGTGGTAGGTGTTCCGCTGCTCAGTGTGGAATCTTAGATGACACATTGCAAGGAAGAGAGAAGGAAAAGAGAGGAGAGGAGAGAAGAAGAGAGGAGAGGAGGACAGGAGAGAAGGAGGGAAGGGAGGGAAGGAGAAAGGAGGGGAGGGGAATAGGAAGGAGGAAGGAAGGGAAGGGTCCAATGGCTTAAGCCAGAGTAGACTGAGCACAGGAATCACATGCTGGAATTGGTTCCATCTGTCCTTTGGCAGTGCCCCGAGCCAGAAGGTTCTCATCTGGAGGAGAGGAAGATGATTTTGACCACAGCATGCACAAGGTGAGCAGGCCACATCACTAAATAAAATGCTTACAGGACATATTACTAAGGATTTTTTTTCATTTGCAAGTGACAGAAAGCAAATTCAAACTCACAAAAGAAGAAAATAGAAATGCATAGTTTGCATAATTGAAAAGTCAAATTGTAGGACTAGCTTCCAGTAGAACTAGATTTACATGCCACTAAGCATGTGTAACTCTAGCCACTCAGGAGGCTGGGAATTGAGGAGTCAGATTCAATGTGAGCCAGGACAGAAAAGTCTATGAGACTCTTATCCAGTTAACCAACAAAACACCCAGAAGTGGAGGTGTGGCTCAAGTGGTAAAGCACCATTCTTGAGCAAAACCCAAGGGAAAGTGCAAGGCCCCAAGTTCAAGCCACAGTACTGACACAAACATAGATAAATTGATAAAAATTTAAATGTTTGGAAAAATAGGTCCGTATAAAACATCTACAGATCTTTTCATCTGTCACTATTCCCTAAACAATATAGTATATAGTTACCACATAGCATCCCCATTGAATATGGTATGTATTGAATATTATATATAATGTAGCAATGATTTAAAGCTCAAAGGAGCCTGTCATTAGAATATATGCAAACACTACACCATTTATGTAATGGATGATTTGAGCATCTGAGGATTCTGGCATCTAAGAGGTAGGGAAACAATTCCTGAAACCAACCCCAGAATAATTGTACTTCAAAATGGTTAATTTTAAGTTACATGATTTCCACATCTTTAAAAACAAAGGTGCTGTCTGCACAGCATTGGGCAGGACAGTGTGGTCCTTTTGGTTTTTGCCAGTCCTGTAGCTTGAACTTAGGGCCTGGGCACTGTCCCTGAGCTTCTTTTGCTCAAGACTAGCACTCTACCCCTTGAGCCACAGCGCTACTTTCTGGCTTTTTCTGTTTACATGGCACTGAGGAATCAAATCCAGGGCTTCATGCAGCAAGAACTCTACCACTAAGCCACCTTCCCAGACCTGCCATGCATTTTTGAGCCAAGCTCTTGAGCCTTGCTCAGAACTCAGAACTATTTGTGAAGAGATAAAGTCCCAAATAAAAATATGTGTGCTACCAGCCCAGAAAGGTGCTGAAAAGGCAAAAAGAGAAAAGAAAAATAGAAGCTTCTATAGAGGCTCCAGTAGCTTAGCTGTTCCCAAGCCAATCAATCCATCAAAGCCTCATTTATTTCCTTCTAACTTCCTCTTGCTCCTCCCTACCTCAGCTCCAGAGTGGAATTGGCCGGCTGATTCTGAAGGAGGAGATGAAGGCTCGTTCAAGCTCCTATGCAGATCCATGGACTCCTCCCCGGAGCTCCACCAGCAGCCGAGAGGCCCTGCACACCGCTGGCTATGAGATGACCCTCAATGGCTGTAAGCACTGCTTGGGACACTTGACACCTATTGGCTGCTCACTTTGGGCCAGGCACCGTCTGAGACACAGTATAAGTGTCTCTTCTTCCTCCCACCATCCCAGTGCAGTAGGGGCTCTATACCCTACAGACAGGGACCTAGGGCACAGAAACCTGCCCAGATCAGAGTTTACAGGTGATAGGATGCTCTCCATCACATCTCCTTCCTGAAGAAAAGCCCCGTATTCAACCCCTTAGGCTAGCCAAGGACTCAGAAGGGGCACAAAGGTTAGCCTAGACCCTCTCACCTCCCTCCATCTCAGTGGCCTTTCAGGGAAGCTCTCCAGAATTGGGAATACACACTTGTCAAGGGCCTAGATGGAGAACCAAATGGAACCGAACTGCAGTGAGCATTCACTATGCTTCTTGGAGCCATGTGAAGCTGTGAATTCCTGTCAAGTGACTAGAAAAATGTCTTCTGATACTCTTCTCTGAACGGCTCAAAGACACAGAAGCTGTTTTCTGAGGTGCTAAGCCTCCCATCACTTGGAGATGCACATGCAGAGGCTTTGTTCCAACATTTTCCCTTGAGAGTCTCTCATTGCAACCTCCTGCATGCTTTGTCTGCCTCCTCCCCTGCTGATCCCTGTGGGATTCAATCCTGCCAGGAAATCCCACCTCAAATCAATATTGGATGGACGGTGGACTGTATCATTGATTATACTTCTATGTACCAGGCATTTGTAGATACATTATCGCTCAGGGCCCTCACAAATCCCTGCAATATAAAGATCATAGCACTCACTTTATAGAGGGAAGATGTAACTTGTCCACAGGCAGAGATTAAGAAAGTGACTAAGCCTGGATCAGACCTGAGTTGAAGGGACCCTATGGCTATGTATGAGCTTTACTGTCTTTTCCTCACAACACCTTGGACTTGGTGAGAATGAAGACGATAGTAGTGGTGGTGGTGATGGAGTCTTTGGAGTGTATGTATAAACCAGGCCCTGGGCTAAGTGTCTGACTTTATTATGTCATGTGTTTTTCCATAATAGCTCTATAAAGGAGACACTGATTTTTTGTTTTGAGCTGGGTCAGGGAGAAGGGGTTGTGTGCTAGTACTAAGGTTTGAACTAGGGTCAGGGCACTTTTCCTTAACTTTTTTGCTCAAGGCTGGTGCTTTATCACTTGAGCCACATCTCCACTTCTAGCTTTTTGCTGGTTAATTGGAGATTAGTCTCATAGATGTCCCTGCCTGGACTGACTTCAACTGAAATCCTGAGAAATCAGCCTCCTGAGTACCTAGGATTGTAGGTATGAGCCACTAGCACCCAAAGGAAGACATTGTGTTACAGATGAGAAAATTGAAGCATCATTAAGCAATTGGCCTGAACTTAGGTATCTACTAGTGGCAGAGGCAGGATGAGCTCATGAGTCAGATTATCCATCTGACCACTGAAGGGCACTGTTTTCCACATCTGGCTCTGCGGTGTGCACCAAGACGGTAGCTGGGAGAGACAATATGTGGCTAGCATGTCCAAGGCTTTGCACTCCATCCCTAAACTGCTGGGGGAAGGAGGATGGGTAGATCAGCTCTGTTAAATTATCTTTAGCTTTGTTTGACAAATATCCCAGAGTACTGGCCCTGCGTCAGGTGCTGGGCTGGAACACGAATAGGAGAGGGAGGATGGAGAGGGGGAAAGGAAATCCTGAAGGAGAGCCCTTCTCCCCTTCAGCCTGAGTGACTGAGTGTGGGAACCAAGTCTCTTTGTCCCCATGAGCTGTCTTCACCATGCTTGTTCATCCCTATGGGCACTGATGTCGGTTTTTCTCTCTTGCAGCCCCACGTTCTCACTACCTGGCTGACAGTGGTATGTTCTTCCTGTCTCCCCTCCAGCCTGTCACATCCTGTGAGGACAGGGCCACATCACCTGCCATTTTCATAGCTCTCATGTCTCTACAACATCTCCGTGTAGATGTCTCAGCACTGTCCTGATCTCCAATAGTCCATTCCATTGTGTAGTTGTCAGCTTGTGGGCCTTCCTTGGGGGTTCTAGAAACATAATGCCCCTTCCACCACTTGAAATTATACCTGTCTGGCTCTGAGCTCCACTTCCATTCCAGAGCCTTTGTCCAGAGCTACCATGTGGCCGGCTACCATGTGGTCATAGGTATCTGCCACCTGGGGGCGGGGGGGGGGGGGTCCGGGCAGGGATGGATATAAGCCAAGGCCAGAAAAGCATGTGAACAGGTGCCTCTTAGGAGCAAGAATTGTGCCAGGACGAGGCTTCCCTGAGATAAATCAAGTTTTAGACCTGGGGGCCATCAGAAAGAGCTGGGGCCTCTCACTCCAGCGCTCTCCCACTAGATTTGAAATATGGTGGCCACTTGTAGGAAGATGGCTTCCAGGGAGAGCAAGCCCTGGTTTGGGGCTCTCGGTAACTGCTCCGACTTCTTCTTTACAGATCCTCTCATCTCCAAATCTGCCTCCCTGCCTGCCTACAGGCGAAACGGGCTGCACCGGGTAAGAACCTTGCTCCCCAACACACACACATAAAAATACTAACAAGTCAGCTTAGTGCTCCAACAACTGCTTTGGGTGAAACTTGAGAAAAGGCTTGAGGGCTAGAAATGGTGAACTGGAAGGACCCAATGGCAGTGTCATGGTCCCCTCCCTGTGGCCCCTGTGTAAAAAGGAACCCTGGCAGAGGGGCTGGGGAATCCTGGCACAAACTGGTCAAGAATTCTGCACCAAGTACCTGCTTTACTGCATTAACTCATGCTATCTTCATAGCTCAGTAGAGGTAGTCACTAATGTGAACCCTATTAGGGGGATAGAGTAATCAAAGTGAGATGACTTACCCCCTCAGTGAATGATGCTAGAAACAGGGCTGAAGGCCAGGCCAGCAGTCCACACCCGACTGACATGTACCAATGGCCTTTCACATGGCATACAGTCTCCTGCGCTCTTTGGCATAGAGTTTGTGTATAAACTTTTGTGGAACTATGGATCTGGTTGACAGGCTGAAAGGGAGCAGGGGCATGTATAATGGTACAGCCTGACCTTTGGCTAACAAGACATTGAGCTAGGTGTTGCCTTACTGCACAACTACTAAGTACCTAGCACTCTTCCCAGTGCAGAGGATCCTGCAGTTGGTGAAATTGCTTTGGTGGAGCTCACATCCTAGTGAGAGAGGAAAAATAAACAAGAAAATGGGATAGGGAGGCAGGAAGTTGGAAGTGCTTAGTGTGGAAAACCCCCAGGGGGTGGGGAAGAGAGGTCAAAAAGGGGTGAACTTCCACAAAGGCCTGAGTACAGGGAGAGAGCCTTACTTCTCTAAAATCTGCAAGCTCATTAGGATGCAGGGAAGTAGGGGCTCTAAGTTCCTGTACAGAGAAGACACATGTGATGGGGGAGTGGGGACATGAAAACAGTCAGGGAGACCAGCAGGGTGCTGCACACTGGGCCAAGACTAAAGAAGGTTTTGGTGGTTGCATCCTCTGATTCTACTCTGATGTATAATAGAATGATTCCATCCTTTGTGTGGAATACAGCCTTGGGGGCAGAGGGGTAGGGCAGACACAGAAGCTGTAGATCCATCCTGAGTCTGTCTTAAGCTAGAGCCCCACTGGAGAGCAATGGCTGGTGCAAACCCTGACCTAGGGAGGAACCTGACCCCTTGTAGACTAAACATCAACTCATGCAGCACATTGGTTGAACATCCACAGGAGATGTCCCACAAAAGATCAGTGACAAACACAGAACCCCTGCCCCTTGGAGCTTCTATTCTTATAGGGAAAAACTATATATATATATATATATGAAATTCATCTAATTATATAGAATGTTACAAGGTAGTACTATGACAAATATACAAAATCTGTAAGAAGATTGAGGAGGAGTCAGCTTGTAATTTTGAATAGAGCTGTCCTAGGAAGCAGGTACCTAAGCAATGAAAGAAAGCAGGAGATGACATCCATAAATGTGTATACAGAGTGCCTAGGCTGTGCTGAGCATGGATGTAGACAGATGGCAAAGAATTCAATGTCCCTAACTAGACAGGCTGCTGAGAGAGCTGCGTGCCTCAGCAACCCTGGTCCATACTTTAGAGAGGGGAGAATGCTTCAGAGCCCGATTCAGACCATCCTGGCTGTCTCTCCCTTCCCTGCAGACACCCAGCGCAGACCTCTTCCATTATGACAGCATGAATGCAGTCAACTGGGGCATGCGAGGTGAGTGGGCAGGGGAGGAGGGAGGGCTTCAGGGAGAGGGCCCTTCTGGGATTTCCCCACCCACCCCACCCCAAACTCGGGTGAACTGCTGCTTGACCTCTGGCAAACCATTACTACAAATTCAGTCTCCACCCTGGGTTTTGTCCAAATCCTGAGTGCCCACTCCCATTGCCTTCTGCTTCCTCATTTCCCCTGCTCTTCCCTCATCCCCTCAAGTCCCTGGCTTTGGGTGCCGTCCAGGCCATCTGTCCCATCTGGGTTCCCAGATCATCACAGAGTGCTGATCGCCCTGTACTGCTGAGCGAGAGCTCCTGGCCAACCCCGATGGAGGGAAACACTCAGAGCCAAAGGCACATTGTTCCCCAGAAAAATTTCCATGAGCTTCATGTTGCGTGCCATGGAAGCTGTCACGCCAGCCGCTACAGGCTCCCATTAACAGGCGCAGACAGGAGGGGACACAGCATCACAATGAAACCCCTTACCTACAGTACGCAGAAATCATGTGCATGCCAATCTTCAGTTGTGTGTGCATGTGTGTATGTGTGTGTGTGTGTGTGTGTGCGCACGCGCTGATCCCAGTACTTAAACTAAGGGGCCTTGGCACTATGCCTTCAACTTTTCACTCCAGGCTGGAACTCCTACCACTTGAGCCACAGCTCCACTTCTGGCTTTTTGCTGTGGTTAAGATAAGGTTTCACAGATTTTCCCGCTCAGGGTGGCTTTGAACCTCAATCCTCAAATCTCCATCTCCCGAGTAGCTAGGATTATGTACATGAGCCACTGGTGCCTGATTCTTCTCATTTCTAGTCCAAATATCTCAAAAGCTTCTTTTCTCTTCAAACCACCTCAGTGTCATCCCAACCCCGATCTGCAGCCCCTGTGGTTCTCATATTAGCCTGGACTGTCCTTTGTGGCGTAATCAACAGCAGCTGTGTAGAAGTCAGACACAGTAGAGACTAAGACAGAGGGTAGGGTAGTAATGCTACTTAAGCATGCATCTCTTTTCTCTCTGCAGAGTACAAGGTAAAGGACATGTAGACCCTGAGGGGTCTCCGGGATGCTGGGGACCACTGCCTTGGAGACCATCAAGAGGATGGCAACACTATGCATGCGGAAAAAGAACATGGAACGAATAGCTTTTCCTGCCCCTCCTTGGCTTACTTTCCACCCCCCAATCCTTTCCTAGGTCTCCAAACCATTCAATCTGACCCTTCCTCTGGCCCCAAAGACTCCAGGGGCTTACTCATCACCAATACTAGATAACTATATTCAAGACACCTTATGCCCACATTTGTGCCAAACACCACATGCTTATCCCAGTAGTATTAGAAGAGTCTGGTGGAACTTGCTTTTGGAGAGAAGGGTGCCTTAGAGCATCTTGGGTTGCTAGGCAACCCAAAGATGGGCCAACCCAGTCTTCCCTCCAGATTTTAATCTTTCACGTTTGAGGAATAAACGAAAAAGAAACCAGACATAAAACATGGCTGCAAGACACAAGCCCACCAGCCTTGGCCAAGCTAGAAATGTGTCCCCTTCTCCTTAGATTTACCCTTATGAACTGCTGCTGGTGACCACGAGAGGAAGAAACCGACTGCCCAAGGACGTGGACCGGACCCGCTTAGAGGTACGTCTCTAGAAAACCAAGCTCCTGATCAGCCTTTGGGTCGGACAGGATTCTAAAGTTGCCTCGCCCAACCCAGCTCAGAAGGGGTGGGCTAAATGAATAGACTTTAAGGTCTCATGTCTCAATGAAGAGGAAGAGGCTTGAACCCATTTCCTACACCCAGACTGTTCTGATTTGCCTCCTGCCAACCCATTTGCCACCTGTGGTACACAGCAGAAGGGTTTGGCAATGGACTGAGTATAAGGTTCTCAATAGTCATTAGATTGCTGTTATTCAAAGAATGCCAAGAGGGCTTGGGTTGGTTGACGCAGGCTTGCAGAAGGAGGAAGAATTGGATAGCCCTAGAAGGTGGGTAGGATTTGGATGGATGGAGAGACAGAGAGAGCATCATGATGGTGGAAACAACACAGCCAAAGGTGTAGAGGTGGAGCCAGGAAGGGCATCAGCATCAGGTCATCAGGTCATTTGGCACGGAGTGCCAGCCCCTGATTGCTTCTGCTTTTCTCCTTCCTGTGATACTTCCTAGGCCCCGGCCTCTCCTTCTTCTTAGAATACTCTTCCTCCCTCCTCGGGGCCCAGTGCCGAGCTCCAAACCCTCCTTTAGCCCTCCCCTAACCTGCTCCTCTAGCCTGCTTCCTCACCTGTGCCCAGGGTGGAGCTGGAGCACCTCTGGCTCTTATGAGTATCAGATCATCTACTTACCTCTTTCCTCTGCCTGGCCCTGAGTTTCCTCAGGATTGGCTAACACAAGGCCTGAGCTGAGAGAGATGTCAGGAAATGTTTGTGGAAAGTTAGAGAAAACTCTGGTCCCTTGGAAGAGCAATGAGCCCCCTGAACTGATGCTGAGGCAGAGCAGAAGCGGGAGGTGGCGCATGGACCCCAAAGCTCTGTGAGTCTTTCCAGCACTGGCACACTGACTTAGCAACCTGAGAATGTCTCTTCCAAAGGCCTCCTTTCTCTGTCAGGAGTAGCTGCCGGTGCTGAAGGGGACAGCTCCCGGGTGGCTCCCTGAAGCCCCTGTAAACAGGCAAACATCTCCAGGCCTCCTACACACTCGGGGCCTAAGAGGCTCACATTTCCTGAGCATCAGAATAGCCCCGGGAGCCTCTGAGCACAGAATCCCTACCTTCATCCAAGTGAACCTCAATCTGGGGAAGGAGCTCAGACATCCATATTTTCTAAAAGCTCTTAGGAATGTCTGAAATGCAGAGTTGAGGCCACTGGGCTAGGAACCCTGTCCTAACCTCTGCCCAGTTCAGGACCCTAACTGCATCCTCAAAAGCACAAATATTCATTCATCCAAAGTCGATTATAGGCTGAATGCTGATGGCTCATGCCTGTAATCCTAGCTACTCAGGAGACTGAGATCTAAGGATCAGAGTTGGAATCTAGCCCAGGCAGGCAAGTCCATGAGACTCTTATCTCCAATTAACCATCAAAAAGCCAGAAGTAGAGCTGTATTCAAATGGCAGAGCACCAGCCATGAGTGAAAAAGCTAAGGGATAGCAACCAAGCCCTGAGTTCAAACCCTAGTACCAGCACGCACGTGTGCACACGTGCACACGCACGTGCGCGTATACACACACACACACAGTTCATTATATAGCACGTAGGTTCGTGCAACATATCAGGAGTATATATCATAGGTGAAGAGATAGATACACACATGAAGGACACAAATAAAGAACGCATGTTGTAGGTACTGAAAGTCATAAGTAATAAGGGCTAACAAAAAGGTAAAAGAAGCTGGTGCTGGTAGCTTGTGCCTATAATCCTAGCTACACAGGAGGCTGAAGATCTGAGGATCACAGTTCAAAGGCAACCTAAGCAGGAAAGTTCATGAGGCTCTTATCTCCTATGAAACCCCAGAAAACTGGAAGTGATGTGGTGGCTCAAAGTGGTAGAGCTCTAGCTTTGAGCAACAAAAGCTCAGAGATAGTGCCCAGGCCTTGAGTTCAAGTCCCACAACCAACAAAAGAAAAGATAAAAGAAGAGCAGAAAGAAGGACTGGGAGTTCCAGGGAGGAGCGATTGGCTGATCAGGACAGTGCTTATCCACTATGTGACATTTTAGCAAAGATTAGAAGTTAGGGAGGGAATTAGCCGCTCTTTCCTACAAAGGAACAAAATCTAGACATAGGAAACAGATAGCTTGATGCAAGAGGGAACCTCATTTGCTTGAAGCCAGCAAGAGGAAAATGAATCTGCCGTCATAGGAGCAGAGAGGATGAAGAGGAGGAGACAGCAAAGGAAATGAGGACCAGATCACCCCAGGTGATGGCACTTGAAAAGATGATTGTGACAGTTATCAAGAGTGGTCTTTAGTCACGTGACAGGTGCTGTCCAATGGCTGTATACACCCATTCACTCACAGTACTCATTTTCCAGAAGAGGAAACAGGTTCAAAAGGGGTAAATTTAATGTGTCCAAGGTCATACATCTGTGTCTGCCTGCTGAAATACTAGTTCACAGTGATAACAGGCCAGAGAACTGTTGTGGTACTGTAATAATAATAATAATAATAAATTTCACTGAATGCCCTGAAATATTAAGTTAGTCTGAATTGGACCCAGAAAGTGTGCAGACAGGAAGTGCACATGTTTCTCTTGTTATACTTGATTTTAAATTCATTTTGAAAATTTTGAAACTTCCAAAGAAGCCACAAGAATAGTGAAATTAGCCTGGTACTGGTGGCTTATGCCTGTAATCCTAGCTATTCAGGAGGCTGAGATCTGAGAATGGAAGTATGAAACCAGCCCAAGAAGAAAAGTCTGTAAGATTCTTATTCTCTCCAATTACCAGCAAAAACCTGGAAGTAAAGATTTAGTTCAAGTGGTAGAGTACCAAGATTAAGCAAAAAAAGCCAAATAAGCCCTTGAAGCCCTGAGTTCATGCCCCAGAACTGGGGTGGTGGAGGGGGAAGGGTAGTGAAATGAACATTCATCTACCTTTGACCTAAATACATCAATTGTTAACATTTTACCACATTTTAAAATTCATATACTTCTAAGTCTAAAATCTCTGCCAATGTTTAATATCTTCCAGAGAGGGGAGGATAGACGGAGAGGGGGAGGGAGAGCAGACAAGCCTTCCTGGAGATGTAGAACAATGTCATATATTACTTGACAAGCTTGTTTTTTATTAAAAAAGTGGTTCTACAAAGGAGAGTAGTAATGTTTTTCAATGACAGCCTTTCAGAGTCTAAGAAGCCAGGCACCGGTGGCTAGTGTCTATAGTCCTCACTACTCAAGAGGCTGAGATCTAGATAATGGCAGTTCAAAGCCAGCCAGGGCAGAAAAGTTCACTAGACTCCATCTTCAACTACCCAGTAAAAAGTCAAGCTGGGGGAGTGGCTCAAGTGATAGAGTACCAGCTGTAAGCAAGTCATTGAGAACGTAAGGTCCTGAGTTCAAGACCTGATACCAGAAAAAAATACATAGATTGAAGATGGATGGATGGATGGATGGATAGATAGATAGATACCTTAAATCTTGGATATGCCTCTTGTATCTCCCAAAGGGGAATAGGATGGCATTAATACATACATCTTCTGTAACCAAATGCACAGGATGCCAAAAGCTGAGGTCAACCATAGTGCACAAGGTCTACTTGAGCACCGCCAGTACCCAGCTGGGCTATGGCACAAAGGCCTCTCCAGCCAGAGCAGCTGCAGAGCCCCCTCTGAGCAAACTTCCCTCTCTACCTTCATCACACAAGTCCTTAGAGAGGGAGCATGCAGGGCCTTGGCTGGACGGCCAGCCACTCCCCCCCCACCCCCCGCCCCCACCACCATGCTAGCCTGCCTCTCCCATCCTCATGCTATTCTCTCTCCCTCCCCTCTTTGCCACCCTCTTCAGCGCCACCTGTCCCAAGAAGAGTTCTACCAAGTCTTCGGCATGACCATCTCGGAGTTCGAGCGGCTAGCCCTCTGGAAGAGAAATGAACTGAAGAAGCAAGCCCGGCTGTTCTAGCAGAGACCCTATACATATAGATGCATTTATATAAAGATGTATGTAAATCTACACCGCCACATGGCGTAACCCTCTTGTGTAACGGGACACACTGCCTGCCATGAGACTTGCTTTTCTGTGCTGTCAGGCAAGCCCACATCATTGAAGTATTTTTATGCTCCTTACTTCTCTTTTCTAAGTGCTGTAAGATCAGGAAAGGGATTTGAGGGGACTCTGCCCTTTTACTGAGGGTCCTTTTTATACTGAAACAGCTGTCCTAACTTGAGTCCTCCAAGGTCTGACTCTCTTTCCTTGGAATGGTGCCTGGAGAAACGTCTCTGCTCCGCTGCTTGGCTCTCTCCCCTATCTCCAGGGCTCCCGAGGATCATGCAGTCCGTGCATGCCATCAGCCCCACAGGGGCCCTCCCATGGGAACTCCATGATGATCCACCTCTCCCCTCCCCCAACCCAGTGAGCACCTCTGGGAGCTCATAAAGAATTTTCTCCATATTCCTAAATTGGATCTAAGTGCTCCCCGGGGCAATGTGATTCAAGATGTGAGCTTCAAATCCACTCATGACACTAGTAGACCCACGAGGGCAGGGCCCTAGCCTCTCAGCTCATCCTTCCCCTCCTCCCACCCTTGATCTTGACCTCTCCCTTGTCCAAATCTAGGACTCATCGTAGGAAAAGGAAAAAAACGGCACTTCCTTCCCCTCACCCCACCTCCACCTGGCCCTTGGCCCAGCCTGGACTTGGAGAAACAGGAAAGCAGAGGATGCTAGGCGAGGAGACAGAGCCCAGAGCCAGGCACCTGGAAGCTAGCAGAGGAGCTGAGGTCCTCCTTTCTAACTCCGTCTGCTCCCAGTGCCTCTTGACCCTTCCCCCTTTCTAGGAGACGCCATTGTTGCAGCCGGTACTCTTCAGCCTTATTACAATCTATGTGCCTGACGATCTATACATCACAGGGCTAGTGTTCCCACCACAGTTCCAACCAAGCAACCAGACTCATACTTCACACCACCCTGTTCTGAGAGAATAGGCCACTGCCCAAAGAAAGCTTCCTGGCCCATACCACTGGTCCCTGGCTCAGCACCACAAACAGTGGGCCCCCCACCAGTCCTTGGATCCTCCTGCAAAGTCGGCTAGGGCTCATGGTGGAAGCTTCCAGAAGAGTAATTGCTTAGTACATTCCAAAATGGAGTGTTAGAGCCAGGGGCTGGTGGCTCACGCCTGTACTAGCTACTCAGGAGGTTGAGATCTGAGGATTGTGATTCAAAGACAGCCCAGGCAAGTAAAGTCTGTGAGACTCTTATCTCCAATTAACCACCAGAATACCAGAAGTGGCACTGTGGCTCAAGTAGTAAAGCACTCACCTTGAGCTAAAGTGCTCAGGGACAGCACCCAGGCCCAGAGTTCAAGCCCCACAACCAATTTTTTTTTTAAATGGAGTGTCGGCCAGCACTGATCCTGGTCATTCCTGGTTGCCCAGTGGCTCTCTTTCTTTCCATAGTAAGGATAAGAGCATGAACTTCTCTCATCCCTCCACAAAGCTTCAACTGTCAGTTGGCAATGTTTGGGGGTAGCTGCTCCTTCTTAGAGATGCCTTGAATCAGGAGCAGACATGACAAAGGAAGAGACTGGTGATGGGCTGTGGCATGTATAGAAGTGACATTAATTCAGCAAACCCTCACTATTGAGCACCTGCTGGTCACTGAGCACCTGCTGAACGCTGTGCACGGAGTGGGGGGCGGGGGGGACACTGGGACAAATCCATACAGGCCCTGGGCTCGGGGCATGACTAGTGAGAGTGGACACTGTAAGGCATGGGCTTAGCCTTGGTGGACACCAAGCAGAGTGTGGCAGGAAAAGACATGAGGAAGGGAATGTGTAAACTACTGGAAGAGTACGTGCAATGATGCAGAGCAAGGAATGCTCTCGAGAGGAGACTGCAGCTGAGCAAAAATAGGATGCATCTTTGCAAAACTGGAAAGATATTGCAAGTTGAAAGCGTAGCAGGGTGGAGGGACCAGAAGGGAAGTCTAATATGCCCTCATTTAACATGTCAAATCTTCCTGCAACTTCTCTTTTTTGGCCAATGTCTTTCAACTTTCCTGACCCATTAGTCATGTTGCCAACCAGACACATTGAAACTGCCTCATTGTCACTGGTTAACAACTTGCGAGACTGAAGGGCTTTTGTTATTGTTGTTGGATATTTTTGTTTCCCATAAAAGCACATCATTTCAACCCAAACCCGTGTCCTTCTGTTGTTTCTAGTGGGAGTGGAAATGACTGACATGGGAAGAGGTTGTACTAGGCACATTTTATTTTTCAAAAGCAATCACTTCTTTGACTTCATTGTCTGGGTTGTTTTCTGCCAAATGCAGGGTGTCTCAAGACAGCAGATGTTCCAACCGTAAACAACTTTCACTTTTTAATTTATATATTTTTGTTATCTTTAGTTGTACAAAGGTTTCAATTCAACATGTCCATTTATGAGTACAATGCATCTTGATCAATGCCACCCTTTCCAGTATTCACTTGCTGTGATCAGAAAGAAATAACATGAAGCACCAAGTTCTCTGCTGCAGAATTTATACACATCTCCATTTCACAGATGAGGAAACTGCTTTGAAGAAGATACATAATTACCACCAGTGGTGCCAGGATTGGTTTCAGCAACACCCTTTCCCCTGGGAAAGAAAATTCACTGGTGGCTCACACCTGTAATACTAGCTTCTCAGAGTCTAAAGATCTGAAGAAAGCAGTTCAAAGCCAGCCCGGGCAGGCAAGTTCATGAGACTCATCTCCAATAAACCAGCATAATAGCCAGAAGTGCAGGTAGAGCTCAAATGGTAGAATACCAGCCTTAAGGAAAAAAGCCAAACGAGAGCTCAAGGCACTGACTTCAAGTACAAAAGAAAAAAAAAAGCAAGAGAAACACAACAAAAACTACTTTATTAAAAGTGACTTAAGCAATAAGAATACATGTTTTCTTGCACAGCCAGAAACGCGAGATGCTGATAAAGTCAGCAGCTCTGTGGTGTCATCCAAAGTTCAGATCTGTGACACCTCTTCACATCACCCTTCTCAAAATTCTGGCTTTTGCACGCTGTCAGTGTGTCACCTCATGTCTGCTCTACAGGCTGCTGGGGCTCCAGGCATCATATCCTCCCACAACCACATCAAAACATAGGAAAGAAATTTTCCTTTGCGTGTCTGGTTTAATAAGGAAAAGTTCCCGGAGGTTCTTGGCCCACTTTTGCACAGATCCCACTAGCCAAGGACTCTGGTTATGTGCCTGTCCCACAGCAAAGGTGAGAAATTGAGTATTGAGCACTGTCAGCTCCATAGTGGGAGGTGTGCCCATACCCACAAGGTAAAGAAGAGACAAGAAAAGAATAACCCCTCCGTAAGCAAATGCCCATCTCACAAAACCATTGGCCAACAAGAAAAAAAAATTTAAAAATCATGTCCCTTTCCTTGTAGATTCATCATGCATATTGCCAAAGCCCCAAAAAGTCCTGTAGTACTTTGGTTTAATCCAGGACTTCACCAACTAATTGCTCATAAAGTATTTAACGTTAGACTTACTGCATTTCCACTATCTCAGAAGCATGCTTTCTTCACATTAGAACATCTCTGAAAATGACATGGGGTTGAAAATAACACCTTCCCTTGGCCTCTCATTCTATGATGTTCACTAAGAACCAGTTCCAGCTGTCACCTCCCCTGTAGGCAGGTGACTCCAGTGGACAGAAGGATTCTCAGGGATGTGTCTTTGTCCTCTGTCTACATGTCTACCCAGCAAATAGTTCACTCATGGAGTATTGGCTGCCAGGTGGGTGCACCAAAGACACAGCGGTATGAAAAGCTTTCCTTGCGCATCCAGGCCTGGAGGAGAAACACATTGTACCTAAGTAAACATGGCAAAGGAACAAAAAGGAATTCAGTTGAAATGCCTACTACAGGAAGAAAAGCACGTCACCGAGGAGAGTGGTGACACGCATATTCTAGGCACAAAGAACATGGGCAAAGGCACTGGGTGGGCAAGAACTTGGCTTGTTTGAGGAGCTAACAATGCCAGGAGAATGGCATGGGGCAAGTGAAGGGGACATTGAGATTGGCAGGGGCGGGCAGGCAGCCACCACACGTAGGAGGATTTGGAAGGACCGCTTTCATGCATTCGGGCTTTGTAGAAATTCCCTGGCTTGCACTGTGCTTATTAGTGTGTTGAGAGCAGGAAAGATTGCTCTAAGACTTGCCACCCAGTGTCTGTCCCCCAGCAGGAACACTGCCTTCTCCTACAAGTTTATGAGAAATGCAGAATCTAAGGCTCCACCCTGGCCTGCACCATCACCATCCGTGTAGTAGTAACCCTCTCCGCCATATTCACACAGGAGTGAGGTTTGAGATATTGCACCCTGAACCACCTTTAATAACTTTTTTATTGTGAAAATACTGTACAGAGGGGTTACAATCACATGAGCAAGGAAATGAGTATATTTCTTATCAAGCATTGTTGCCTCCTCCTTTATTTTTCTCCTACCATCCCTTCCCTCCCATCTCCACAACTACATCTTCCCACACCTCCCCCCCCCACCTAAATTGTAAAGTTTGTTTTTTGACATAGCATCTTGTACATCTCATTGTTGCAAGGGGTCAATCTGTATCACTATTTAAACAATTTTGTTTTTCCCCTTCCCTCCCCAAATTATATCAACACCAAATACTGTGAAAACAGGCGTTATACCATGGGGGAGGGATATACAAAGCAACCAAAAAAACACATTGGGCATTTACCCAAATGATCACAAACAAGACTATACTAAAGCTACCAGCACAACTATGTTCATTGCAGCATTATTAACCATAGCTGAGATATGGAACCAGCTCAGATGCCCCTCATTATATGAATGGATCAAGAAAATGTGGTATATATACACAATGGAATTCTATGCCTCC